AAAACTAGATAACAATTGTAGTATATTAAATAAACTTTGTTGTCGCTAGCAGTTATCAAAGATAGTTTTGAAGTTCAATGGCCCCCAGCTCCAGGCTCCGATTTACGCGTTTACGAGGCCTGTTAATAAGAGGGCTATGGTCTTAAGCCAAAAAAAAAGTTTCGACAAATAATAAAGGTTTTTGATCGTTTGATATTTTGTCGCCCTTACGTCACGCTAAAACTTTAATTTTTCGACCATAACATTAAATTATTAATTTTAGTCATTATTATATATTGTAAAAATATTTGAAAAACACTACATCTTTTAACATTATTAAAAATTAATAAAGTTAATTATTTAACATTTATTTATTTATTGCAACAAGTTTATTTATTACAACAAGTATTTAACATTTATATCTAGTTAATATTTAATTGCTTAAAAGCAAACTAGCATTTATTTTTCATTACATCCGCCGGAGGGAGGCAAATATTTTCGCCTCCAATTTGACGGCTGCAGCCAGTTAGGAGGCAGAAGTCATTAAAGGCGGGCTTCAAAAAGCTTTGCCTTTAAAATTTCTTCTGGAGGCGGCCACCATTGGCTTCCGCTACTCTATTGGCCTCAGCCTCCAAAACATTTTGCCTCCAAATACGAACTCCGGCTGCGGCCTCCAATAGAAAAACGGAAGTTACTGGAGGCAGAAAACAGAATATTTTGCAGATAAAATATTATCGGAAGGCCGCCGTCAACAGCTTCTGCCTCCCTAAAAAGTCGGCTTTTCGGCAGAAAGTTACTTTGCCGCCGGGTGGCATTATCAACTCTGGTAAATTTTGAATATTCTTAAACATCTTTGTGCGGAAAAATAAAAAAAGGATATTCGCGAACACAAAAAAACCCGCCAAATCTACGAACTACGGGTCTTTGTAGTTCGATTCCAAACCGAACTTTTTATACTTTTTCTTTAGATATTTAAGGTTTCCGGATCCGTAAAACATGGGTCTTTACCAAACCTACCATTTTTATACACAGCAATTTCACACAGATTATTTCGATACATATTCCTTATTTGCTTCAATATTTTTTAGTAAAATAATTTTGATCTGTAAAACACTTTAACAGCAAAAAATTAACATGCGCACTTTTTCCGCCTACGTAGAGGTTATTAGAGACTTATAATTAGGTTTTTTTCATTTCCATGATAGCTCAGTGGTTATGTGCGCTGTCATCAGTTTTGGAGGGTGTAAGACCTTCTCTTAGCTTAACAAATTTTAGATTTTTTAAATCTTGCCTTTATATTCAAGCAAAAAAATAAGAATATAGAAAAAAAGGTTCTAAAATTAAAAAGTTTCCTCATTTAATAGATATACGTGATTTTTTTTCATAAATTGACAATGAAAAAAGAAAATCTAACAATTTTTGAGTTATATAAATAGCATGGCGCTCTATACTGAAGGCCTATTCATCGCGCAACCGTAAGAAGTGACTGGGGGCCTATTATTTTTACGGATTATCAGCAACTCAGCTAGAAAATTATATTTTAGAATCAAAATAAGACTTTTAATGAGTTTAGTTAGTTTATTTAGAAATATTTATATTAAAATGTAATAAAAAGTTAATATTGAAAATTGAAAAAAAAAATTAAAACAAAGAAAATATTTGCATATATTTTAACAACAGCATATACAAATCATAATTTTCTAAACAAATTTATAATAATTTTAAAACTTTTAATGGAGGTTCTTGGTGAGGTTTGTGCACAAAAATTATTTAAAAATATATTGGCAAGTGTGTTGCAATGTTTTTGATTAATTTCAAAAAAGTAAAATCCAATAACCAGCCGAAAACTGTCACTTAGGATTTACGACAAACTTTATCTTTTATTGAATGGAATAAGGCAAAGCAAAAAAAAAACCATTGGCAAACATTGTCTGGTGGAATTTTAAGACCACCACGATCTATAGACTTAAGTTACTCACCAAACTCTACATAATAAGATAATGTTTGGTTGAACAACTTGTTTTCATTAAATTCATTTCTACATACGTAACCAGCAATATAAATCAAAGACATTTTGGTAGTATCTGAAATTGATAACTCTAGTTTTTCTAAATTGTCAAATATTTCACAACCTGCTCCACATAAAATATATGTACAAGAAGCACACTCATGGCCTGAGCTAAAATCAAAAGAATTTATGTCAGTATTTAAAGATAATAACAGTGATGTGTGATTTATATGCAATTTTTCTATAATTTGTTGAACATTTATAAAGTAGGCACCCCGGAAGCCTTGTCTCAATTTCCCAAATTCTTTTTATAAGTGGTCACTTGTAAACATTCCAAGAAGAACGTAATCATGACTTGTTGCTAATAAATATTTACATAGCTCAACAATACCATAGCAACTATGGTGAATTGATTTTGCAGTATCATTAGATAACTGCTTTACTCTTTTGCCATCTTTACAACACATTTCGAGAGCCATATCACCAAACTGAAGTAAAGTATTGAGACGGCAATCATCAGGACTACAAATAGGTGCTTCAAGTGGATCATTGTGTCTTACATCAGCTCCACGACTTTTCACATTCAAAATTTCCCACCAGGTTATTACTTTATTTATAAATATTGCAGCATCCTTAGAATTTGAAATTATTTGAGAATAGAAAAGCAAGGCATGATATGTCTTATCTGAAAAAATTTTAGGGCAAGTCGATACATTTTGCCTTTCATTTGGCTTGGGAGCTATTGCAATTTCATTTAAGTCTGACAATTTGACTAACTTTTCTGATTCTGATTGATATAAGCATTTAAGGTGCTCCCATTTAGCTGCTCGTTTGAATACTATTATCATTGTACACTAGTTCCCCAGTTTTTTCTGTAAGCCATAGATTCCTAATGTTTTTCAAAAGATGAACAAAGTCAAACAGTAAATACTCTTTAGTTTTCCAAGGAATAGTACGATATAATTTTTCTGGAATAGTACGATATAATTTTTAAAATGCTTTATTTACACGATTACCATCACAGATAACAACTTTTACATCGCCAGATGATGATTTAAATGTTTTATACTAGAGTTTATTGTTCAAACAAAATTTGAACTTAATTTTGAAATTAGAGTCATCATATACAGAAATTTTGGACCACCTTTGAGACATACTATCATAATTCCTAACACAGTTTTAGCCAATAATGGTGGATCAAATGAAGATTTACCAAACAATGTTCCACCATGGTAAAGCATCATTTTTTTGACATAAACTTCATCATGAATAATTTTACAAACTTTTTGTTTTTCTTCAATGTTTTTAAAAACTGAGCCTAAGAAACTAGCATCATCAATTTTGCTAACTTTCAATGTTAATCGTGTCGAAGTACTAACTGATGGCTATTGAAAATCGTTTCTTAGTTTATTGTATAAAGAACGAGATGTTGAAAAATATTCATAACTGCGTATAATAGTATCTGATTCATATATTTTTTTACCGATAAGCTTTGCAGACACAACTGATATTTGTTGCTGAATAATGTTTTTCTTATGATCTATTTCCATGACATTTAAAAAATGTAGTATTTCCTTAAACTTTGACCAAGTATTAACAATATTTATACGATTTTTACACCAACTTTTTATAAAACATTTTATTACACAATGAAATGTTTCAAAATGTAAATTCTCAAAAGTTTTAACAAGAAATAAAGGAACACCGTCACAAAACGTTATAGATGGAACATTTCCTGTTTTTTCAATCATTAATGTTATTACTGAAACTGAAAAAACCCTGAGATTATTTAATAAAATATTTTTAAAATCAATATATGTTGCTGAATTAGTCAATAAAAAAGTGCTAAGTTCATCAGTTCTGACATTTCTAACAACGCTCAAAGACTTCTTTGTTGTGCGATGAGGTGGCAATCGAGTGGTTATTTAACTTGAAGGTATTCCTTGAACAGTAACTTTTTTAAAAATTGTTGGCCAATGTAATTGGCAAATAACAGTTTCATCTGAAACTAAAAGATTAGAATTCGGAATACTTTTTATCCAAATATTTCTTTGTTCTTTATATTTAGGAAAACGATAAACTGGTATTTTTATTATTTTTGGTACTTTGATTACTTGTTAACTCTCAACACTCTTAAGAGTTAACAAGTAAGTAAAAATACAGTGTTTTGAAATTATTTAAAATATACAAAAATTTAAAATATAATTTAAAAAAACATTAATAATACAAAGTTTTTGGAAATATAAAAGAATAATCAAAATTGAATTAAAAAAGTTAAAAATCCTCTCGCAAGTTTATCAATGCGAGCATTTTCCCGGTTGCCGTTTCGAACTCGAATTCGACCTCGTTAAACATCGTAACTAACTCGAAATAGAACTCGGATTCGAGCTCTTAAAGGAGACCCCTCGATTTCAAGCTTGCACTGCGAGCTAATAACATCGTAACCGAGCTCGGCGCCAAGTTTGTTACGATTATATTAGCTCGCGCTACGAGCTTATAACAGCGTAATCGAGCTCGGCTGCGATGTTATTAGCTATAGCTTGCGCTGCGAGTTAATAACATCGTAACCGAGTTCGGCGCCGAGTTTGTTACGATGTCCCAGAAAGAAAAACTTCTACACTCTTATATACTGAGTTAATCACTCTTATTTAACTGATTTAGCACTTTAATTTATCTGAGGTAATAAGGATTAATGAATGGAGTGATTAGAACTTGATAAACAATATAAAAAAATCATTTATTCAAAGCATACAATTTATTACATAATAAACTTACATTAATATTGAATTGTTTAATGAAAAACAAAATTAAAATATTAATTTATACATACTATAAGACTTTATTAAAAATAAAATAATTAAAAATAAATATAAACAAATTTATGCAGAGTTTTGCTAAATTTACCTAGTCTAAAAGTTTTTTTTATTTAAATAGTATTTACAAAGACAAAGTTTTGTTGTTTTTTAATTAATGGAATTATTCACGTGGTGTTAAATAAGTAAAACTAAATTAA